CATTAAATAACAAGTAATTGAGTTGGTTGCTGTCAAAATTTAAAGTAAGAAATATTATTCCTAATCTCGTGGTTTCTATTTAATAAAGACTTCGCCTGAACTTAAATTTAATTAACTATATTCCTTTCATTCGATTCTTTTGCAAACAAGTTCTAGGAAGTCGTAGGTTCTATTCTTGTTCAGGTGTTGCTTTGAATTGACTTGTTGAAACTGTATTCGTATGAATAGAATAAAAACATCTTTTGATTTACATACACATAAAAATATTTTTTTTTTATAAACTTATAAAGCTTGTGCCGTATTATAAGTGTCTAAAAACGCTACCACGTTTAACCAAAGTTTGTGAATCTGCATGTAAGAGGAGATACTGATCCGATTTTTGAAAATCTTTCATTAAAATAGAAAGCCACGTTTTCCTCGAGTGAGTTTTTATCCCGGCTTATCGAGTGGTTACACTAGGATTTTAGAGCACTTGAGAGCAAAACGAAAACTGCTGGATGTAGGACCATGCTTTGAGGAAACCTTCAATAATACTGGTATAAATATTATGCGTAAATAACAAAAATATGAAAACTATAGGTTTTACAACGATGAAGACATTTAAAACTTCATTCTTTTATTTTAGAATTTATTCCAATATTAACTATAAAAATGTTTTTTTTTTGAAAATACAAAATGATTTGTATTAAGAGAAAATGCCTGATGAAATATAATAACGGCATTATACAATTTTACTAAAATAAGTTAACCCATTTTCATAGCATTATACAATAAATAATTAGTATTACATTTTATTAATATATATATATATATATATATATACATATATATATATACATATATATATATATATATTATATATATATATATATATATATATATATATATATATATATATATATATATATATACATATATATATATATACATATATATATATATATATATATATTAATACATTAAAATGTTGAATAATATATTTCAAAATCTTGAGAAATTATTAGAATAACCGTCCTCATAGTTCAAGTAGACTAATTTTCATTATGGACAGTTCCAATTATCAGGAAATTGCAGTGCACTCCTGTTAAGTGGATATGCAGTACGTGATTGTGAAGCCTTAAACCTTATTGTATTACCTCTGGCGTTATGTTGGCTCGAAGACTTAATGAGCTTAAGGAAATTCTTAGCGTACAATGTAAAATATATTGCGTATTTTCAATTTTATTTTTACGAGCTTTCATACTCAAGTTTACGATATTATTTAAATAGGCTTTTAAGATTACGAGTAAGTATTTATACAAAATATATTGCTGTAATAAAAATGGAGATTGCGTTCAATTAAAATATTTTTGCAATCTTCGTGACTTAGTGATTTATGTACGTCGTGAATCTAGTAGGTATATTGGTCGTACAGATGGCAGTCTTGGTTTGATTAAGGCAGATCGTTACGTTGAGAGCAAAGCTCAATAAGCAGTGAACAAAGTAACCGCGTTAGCCAAAGGATTAAGATTAAATTATGAATAACTACATATACGTTATAATATTATTTGTATTGAATTAGTTGAAAAAATCTTATCATTTAATTTAAAAAGCTTTTTTGAAATAAAAGTAATTAAGTTAAATTCCACATAACGTGCAATGAAATGAAAAAATAAAAAAAAAATATTATTTACCTCTTTAGTTTTCTTTGAATTCAAAGAAACGAGTAAATTTTAAATGCTAATATTAAAACTTTGATATATCTACAACAGATATTGTTGTTTAAATTTTTTAAGAATAATATTTATGAATAAAACAACTGAAAATGAAAAACATTATTTATTATTTATAGTGTAGTATAAAACCAAAATGCTTTTTTAAACTTGTAACAATTTTTCTAATTTTTCAGTTGAGTATTTTAAATTAAATTGTATGAATAAATAATAAAGTTTCAATACTCTACGTATACTGTAGATAGATGTTGGAGGTATGCGGAAAGCTTAAGTATGCAAAGCGGAAGTAAAAAAACCAAAGGTGTTAAAAGCCCTTACCAATTCATTTTCATTTAACTCCGGCGATTTTACAGCTCGGAATTTTTCCTTAACTTGTGATATAGCCTAATTTAGTAGTTTTATATAATGACTAGATTTTTTCACGGAATATTCAGCCGTTTTAATTTCCCACTGCTGGACAAGCCTCCTTTCAATGCAAGGTGGATAGTTACAGGCCATAGTCCACCACGCCGAGTGCACCAGCCAAGTGCGAGTTGGAGGATTTCACTTTTTTTTGAACTTGCTAGGTTCTCTCAGGTTTGCCGTTATTGTAAGACAAGTGATAATCATGTTGGACATTTGCAGATGAAAATATTAGAGGGCGAGAACCGGGATTTGAACCCGTTTCACTCAGATTCCCAGGCAAGCGCGTTACCACTGGGCTACCATTGCTTTATATAAATAAAATATAATACAGATAATTGTTAACTTTTTGCTATAATACACTTTTACAAGAACACAGTATAAAGAATAAAGATAATTTCAGTTAAATGGGATTAAAATCTAACAAAATACATCGTTATCATACAATTTTAGTTGAAATCTAAAGAAAACTTGTAAATATTTCCAATTTATTGGATACCATGTTCTATCGGAAATACCAATTCTCGAAATTGGTTTTTAATTGGAACGAAACTTCGTAAAATATGCGTGATGCATTGCTTGCATAGTTTGATTTATTGAATTTTTTCGACACATTTTCAGTTACTGCATCAATGCTTTTAAATTTAAAAAAAGTTTTTGTCAAACAACCAACACTTCTGACCAAATAAAAACAGAGAAAATATTTAAGTTTAAAAATTTTTTTTTTTTTTGCTTTCATCAATCATAATTTATTTTTGTTCGTATTTTATCAGCCACGATGGAATAAATAGAAAAGTTGAATGAAGCTAAAATTGAGTATATATTGATTTATATTTTTTTTTCAAGTAAAATTAATTTGTGTTCCTTTCATAAGATCTTAATTATTTTTTTTATTATACGTTAATAGACTATTGGATTTAGTTAATGGACTTTTAGTTTTTACATTTGATTATTCATGTTGTTTTGCACACATTGTCATGCACTGCTCATAGTAAAAAAATCTAGAGTTAAATATGAACCAAATAAAATGAATCATATGAAATCTATTATAGCCAAACAATTATTTGTTCAACCAAAATTAATTATATTAAAAATAAATATATAGAATAAAATACTAGATCAGACCATAAAAATCTATCATATATAATGTGGAAAAATGCACTAAAAATGGTTATGGAAACTTGAATAATAAAAGTGTGTGTAATGCAGTGGTAATTTATCTCACAACGCCAACCGCACGTGCTCCTATCGGTTAAGTAAAACATATTATATTTTAGCTGCAATATTGACCTATGTGTTTAGTAATACATAGGTTAAATTATTTTATTTATTATTTTTTAAATGTAAGATATAATTGTCGCTTAAAATTGGTTACAAAGAATAATTATGTACGTTACGAATCTACGTTTAAAATAATGATACGACTAGGTAATAGTAGGTAATATTAAATTGTATAATATACTAGTCTTTTTTTTATTCAAATAAGTTTCTATTTATATATTTTAAATACAAAATTATAATCGATTATCATGCTCTTTAAATGTTACGAAATGGGAAGTACATTTATACTTATTTGTAAAATGAACATTGCAAGTAATAAGTTTTCTTCAACATTGATGTTATAGGTTTTCTTCAAACGTTGGTAGGGTAGCTAGCTATTCCTTACCTCTAATCGCTGGAGGTGAAGCAGAGGTATTTTCTGGATTTGAGTTCAGAATTAATACTTTAGACTAGATTAGACCTCTGAGTCTTTATAGACTAGCATAAAACGCTTCTGAAAAAAGAAGTTCTTACCAGCCTTGCAAAATTTTGTATTCTCAAATGTTTGCCGCTATTACTTGATGGTAGTTAGCCTGATTTAGTATCATCCATATCAAACTGCCAATCCCTTACACATAATGAGAGAATAAATATTGTGGTGTGTGTATGTATCTAATACAATTTCATATCGTAGGCTAGTCTAAACGAGATACGTAGGCCGCTGTAATCTACTATGATATTATAATTAAATATACTCTGAAATCCAAAGAAAGGTCCTAATTCTGAGAACATATGTATATCGAAGCTTAGAAAAGAAGATGAATAAAATGATATAGACCAAAATTTTATAAATAAACGAAGGAAATATTATTTTATAGTAAAAATACATTACAAAAGAGAAGAAAGTTAAAAACTTAAAAACTTACTTTTTTAAGAAAATAAAACAACGAGACATTAAATCACGTTATCTGCGTGACAACACCGCTGTCTCCAGTGTCAGGTTGTCTGCCACTGTGCACTAGACAGTCACTACTATCGTTTTAAATTGAATGTCCTTAAAACTACATTTCGCTACATTATTTTTTCTTGATATCTACGTACGTGCTGTAGCAATTATAAAACAACCGCATTTGCTTTAGAAATTGTTATAAATAAAAATATATTTATTAAACCAGCATATTTTATATTGACATAGATTTGTTTGTTCAATAACAGCAACATATTTTAGCACCGGAACAATTTAAAACGCGACTTTTATTTGCAATTGCTTGTAAACTGCGCATGGTGGAATCAATTCCATTGTTGGCATTGCCAACCAAACGAATTCATCTGTGCTTTGGATTGTACAGCTCAGCGATTATTTTATCTGCACAAAATACAATCAATATAAATTCAAAATGCAAAGTATTAATTTGATTTGGCATTGGTTAGTGTACCAATAAATTTATCTATGTAAACTGTATAGTATGAGAAATTCAATTCATTCGTTCTATGATACAAGACTTTGATTTGGTTTTAAAGACCCAAATATATTTAGTTAATTCTACCGAATATAAAATACCATTATTATTACAGTACCCATGGATGAAGAAGAGAAACAGTTCGCGCTAATTTATTTTTGGGATAATGTATAATGTAACAAGAAAGATGGATAGCAAAGTGATACAAGTGCTTATAGTGGCACTCGCCGCACATGTAATTACTGCTAGAGTGATGTGTCCAAGTCATCCTAACTGCGTTTGTGGCGGCACGTTCGCTGTTGAACTGAATTGTAATATTGATGGTAAGTGCACTTAAATGCTCACTCAAATGTAACTATCGATTTATAGACACCTAAACATCACTAACATAGTTTCTAAGTTAATAATTTCATAATTACATTTCAGGGCGCACCGTGAAAATAAATCTACTTCCAAGTACATATATAAATATAAAATGTGAAAATGCGACCACATTAGATTACAGCAAGCTACCAAAATGTGCCAATGAACCTAATACTTTCAAATCAGTCAGCTTTAAAGACTGTCCTTTACCTAAATCCTCATTCAAAGATATCCTCAATCATATAGGGGTTTCGAAGACTATGTCGTTAATATTTCAAAATACTAAGAATTTATCAGGATATTTTAGTAGAAAACAGTTTAGTGGATTGCAATATTTAACGAAGCTGTTGTTGTCGGTAAATGGAATCACTCACTTGCCAGATAATCTATTTATGGATATTAGTAATTTAACATGGTTGAACATTCGTTGCAATAACATAAACTTGTCTGAAGAATTGTTTAAGCCCCTTGAAAAGTTAGAAACCTTAGAAATTAGTCATAACCACATGACAAATATGTCTTCGAATATTTTTTCACATTTATCTCTATTACGGAAGTTATCGTTATGGCAAAGTAATGTAACATGGTTTTCAAAAGACTTCTTTACTGGCGTAGATGTTCTTGAAGAATTAGATTTAAGTTCTAACGGACTCAACGAACTTCCAGCATCAATTTTTAAGCCATTAAGAAAATTAAAGAAACTTACGTTATTTTCTAACAAGTTTTCGACGTTGCCCCAGAATTTATTCTCGACGAATAGCAAATTGGAAACTGTTATAATACTTAATAACGATGTAAAAATGAAAGAGCTTCCAAGGAATCTCTTTGGGAATTTACTTAATTTGAGACAAGTATATGTTCAAAGAAGCGGAATAGAAATTGTACCATATGATACATTTAACAACTCACCCCTCATAACAAACATATCATTAGCATATAATGATTTAGCAATAATTCCGGAGTCAACTTTTAATGATCAAATCAATTTGTTGGAACTTGATCTAAGTCACAACAACCTAAGAAGCTTAGAATCAAAATTATTCTCATCATTAGTACGTCTTGAAAAATTAAATTTATGTTATAACTCAATCGAAGAAGTTTCTAGGTGAGTTTATTGTTAGTGTTTATATTTATTTTAGTCATTCTAAGAAATGTAAATTGCTTTAATCATATTTTTTTCTTCTTTCAGTTCTACATTTTCTTCTCTACTGAGTTTAATAGATTTAAATATGGAACATAATAACTTGAAAACAATATCGTCATACCTATTTAGCAATAATAAGCAAAGGCTGTCGGTATCTTTAGCGTATAATCGACTTGATTTCGAAAACAAAGAACTAAAAAATAATTCTTGGACAGTAACACGAGTATCTCCATTTGCCCACACTTATAATCTTCAAATGCTAAATTTAAGTCATAATAAATTTAAACTATCTTATGAGGATTGGTGGATCAATGGTCATGAAGTCCTAGATGTGAGCTATAATTCTATTCAACAACTTTGGGTAAGATCTTCATATTATTATTAAATATTTATTTTTATAAGTTATTTTGGTCGCATATAAAAATCTAAAACATTTTATGATTTTAGGGTGATAAAACAATAAAAGGACACGTTTCATCAAACTATAATGAATTAGTTAAAAAACCAATAATAGAAGTTTGGATGTCAAGTAACCCTTTGAACTGTAGATGCAATAACTTTATGTTTATTGATTTCTTAAAGGAAAATTTAAAAACAAAGGTCAGTGCTCACTTATTTAACTAATTTTTGTTTCATTATAAGTTTTATTTCCAATTTTAGTCAATCTGAATTTTCACAAATACTTACTCTTCATGGAAAAATATATATTCATAGAACGTAATCATTTTAGGATTATTTTATTTTTTTATTGTATTTCTAGGTCGTGGATGACACTTTAATTCAGTGTCCCATTTGGACTAAGGAATCATGTTACCTGCGATTTATCATATTTATTGCTCTGCTCACAGCGTCACTCTCACTATCAATGATTACTATAATTTTATACTTTGTATACAAGAAACAAATAAACTTGATCATAAAAAGGAAATTCCAATATTTTTCTCAGCAAAACAGTAATGTTGAACAGAATAGAAATATTATTGTGAAATATTTTGAAAACGATGAGGAATTTGTACTAAAAGAAATTTTACCAGAACTAAAGGAACACAAAAATTTTAAAGTGCAGACCAAACTTATTAACAAAGCCGATAGCAAAGAGAATGTTATTAAACACTTTAGGAGTGGCTGTAAAGAAAATGACACTACTCTAGTTGTGTTTTCCCCAAACTACTTAACGTCAACTTACAGTCACGTAAATATCAAGAAAATTCGAGGCGAAATGTTGAAAACGAAAAACACAATTTATGTGTTCACCGATATTGGTCCCGAGAACTCGATATACGCTTTCTTAAAGGAGCAACGAGATCAACGCACAACTATATTGTGGAGTGACCCAAATTTCTGGAACGTCCTTATTTCCATGTTATCAAATAGGTCGTTGAAGAAGAAAGTACGATTTTCATCGGGTTACGATATACGAGGAAAAGTAAATACGTCTATGAGTTCAACCAAAACTAAATTGGCAGCGAATAATTCATTCACAAGTCTACCTGATTGGCCGGACGTGTATGCATCCAGTACATTTGCACATAGTCAAGTTTAGTTACATTTTCATTTTTAGTGAGGTAAAGACTGACTTCTTCGCTATAAACGATCAAATCTCACATTTCGCAGTTTCAATTTACATATAGGTACTTTTGTTACAATGTAGCTTGTAAAAATGTGTTTAATTAGGATATCGTAAAGGTAATTGTGTAAAATTTTTACAAATTTAGGATGTATGAATTAAATTAAGTCACATTTATTAAGTATTTTTTTTTAAGTACACCACTGTAGATACAGGTTCCCGCTTTCTTGTATTATGGTTAAACCTACTCATAATTAACTTCAAAGAAGTGTAACATTTATGATGTAATCAGCATTTAATCATTACTTTCTATTATGTATGTAAATATATTATAAGATTGTATTACTTAACCCATTTAAGTTTCAAGGAAACTGCATATTGTTAATGAGTTGTAAGCTACAGCTTGAATAAAACAAATACTTTACTTAAGAGATTTTGTTTTATTTTACATGACCGTATTTTATCTTTCTTTGTTTATTTTCATGTTTATAAAAATCTAAAGAGTATATTTTACATAAAATACTTTTTCTTAAGAATTGTTACATCACATACTTAACTACTATTTACCTCACGAGTAAGTAGGCGTACTCTTGTTAATTGTTCATATTGTAACAACTTAAGGAATTTAAGTGGAATTCTGAATGTTTAGGATATTCCGAATCTAATATTATTGGAATTTAATATAAGTCTATTTTTATCAATGTAAATATGTACCACGCGAGTAGAGCCGCGAGCAAAAACCCATTAATTATTTCTGACAAAAAATCTGAAAAATATAGGTTATGTTTTGTTTTACATTTAAAAATGTTGATTGGCTATATTTAGTTTTTACAAAATTTTATTTTACTTGCCATGTTTGTTAGGTGGTACATACCAATGTAGGAGTCAAATATTGCAAGCTGTATTAGAACTACTTCCTCTTATCCTACAGAATTTAAACATTACACGTTTGTTTACTTCCGATGCCTTTCTGTGATAATTATGGCCTGATTTCGCATCTAGGATTGGCTCCAGGCGAACGCAAGCAACTTCTCAACGGTAAATAGAACGGACACGAAATTTTATATTCACATTCATTTATAATAATAACTTTTGACTTGAAAAGCCCGCTCTTGATTTAAAAAGTAAAAAAAAAATATATAAATCAATTAAGCAAAAAGCTGCAAATTTAGTGCGTTAAAAAGAACATAAGAAGATAATAAACCTGCTACTAAAGCTTGTTTTTAAAAATTTTTTTTTTTACTATCTATTTATTAATTTTTATGCAAAATTTCTTAGACAAACACGGTGAATGTTAAAAGATCTGCCTTCACTGTTTGTTAGCACTATAATTAGTATAAGCTTCTCACATTAAATTATTAAATTCAATTGTTTAATAAGGACTGTCTGCTAATTGACTCATTTGAGCAATAAAATTGTAATATAATGATATTATAATGATATTTTCGTGCTTACGATGAAAACTTAAAAAACTTATATGAATTTAAAATTATTATTATTAAATAATGCACAATTAGGTATTACAAAAAATATAATGCATGCAGTAAAGAGGTAGTAGTATTTTAAAAAACCAATTTTCATACAATATTATTATCAAATTAAGTAAATGCATATAACCTACGTCTATAAAGTTACTGTTAAAATCTTAAAGTTTTATTAAAATATTAATTGAGAAATAAATAATCTTCAGAATTCATATAATAGTTATATAACTTTTATTCAGTAATTTAATTGAATGAATAAAGTCAGTAAAGTTAGTAAAAATAAGTTGCTCCAAAAATATTTAATAGTAGTAGGAAACCCTAAAGACAGTCCAGCTAGTACTTGAATAGTAATTTTACTATAACATAGTTGTTTAACCTGAGGGATTTCACTATAATCATTAATCACACTAAGGAGCATACCAACACAAGAAGAACCGTTATTATTGTTATTATATATAGATTCACACAAACAAAAAATATCGTTAAGCCCATTAAAACATATCCCGTTATAATTATAGTCTGCCGAACAGACAGACGATATGACCTAGCAATAGAATCCTTACTCAGACCTGCCGCTAAAAACGCTAACAATGTACAAAAGTTAAAAACTTATTTATACTTAGTATTATTTACGTTTGTGTCGGTTTTGATTTAGAATCTTTTATAAATGAGAGTATGTCCTTTGGCCTCCGGAAATTGCATGTGAGCATTCGTGTCGAACCCTGGGCCGGCAGGGTGGCGGGTGGTAAGTTGAAATCGACCGCATTATTTATGCCTCCCGTGGAATCCGGCCGTGGCCATGCATACTATGTACGTACGAACCTTAAAGCTATCCATTGCCGCTTCATATTAAATAACACCAGCAAAATATTACTATAGGTACGTTTTAACGATTAATATGGAATAGAGAGACATTATATGATATATAGCCTATAGCCTTCCTCAATAAACGGGTTATCTAATGCAAAAATATTTTTTTTCTAATCAGATTAGTAGGTCCTGTAATTAGCGCGTTCAAACAAACAATCTCTGCCTCTTTATAATATTACTATAGACTAGTGATTTAACCTTGCTTCGCTCGAGTGCGTCCCTAAATGCAGAAGATATCGTATAACACAGATAACAGAAGCCTATGAGTTACTCTAGGTCGTAATCTATCTGCATGATAAATTTCATAGTAATCTGTCCAGGCCGTTCAGAGTGGCGTAATAAACACATACGCATCGAATTTATAATAGTAAATTCATAAAATTAATTAAAATCCAGCCTAATTACTACGAGAAAAGAAAGAGATGAAGTCCCTTTTTTTCTCTCTCTTTTAATCTGTTAATACGTACATAAATATTCGACAAGGAAAAATAGCCGACAATCAGATACATACCGCAGCTGTACAAGAATTTTCAATAAACGAACAGCATAGGGTTTTATTTTCAATGTTTTTCCTACCTACCTACCTACCTAGGATCTTACTGCAGATTATTTCATTATTGTAATATGTAGATTTGTGAAGCTGTGTACGTTAATTTTTGACTTTGTTATTACAAAATTATTAAAATTTCTATCGCTATTATAACATGTAAAATAGGAAAAATAAAATTAAATCGTTTGCCTCCAAAATTATTGTAATTTAAAATCAGATGGCAGGTCTGATTTTACTGATCGAAGCTCATGAAAAATGCATTAACTGTAACGGATATCTGATATTATACCCAACATAATTCGAATTTAAAATCAGAAATAATATGATAGAACTTATAGGTAGTATATTATGTATATTTTGAAAATATAATTCGTAGATTGTTCTGTGTTTACTTAAATTTTATTTTTTAACTATAAATAAGAAATAGACGTTTAAGTCCCTTATGGAAATAATTAAAAAGTTCAATCTTCCACTATATAACACTAGCTGTAAAAGACAAAAAAAGGTGATCATTTTTAAGATAAGATAGATAAGAATTATCATCATAATTTTTTTCCATGCTAAGAGATTATTCAGATTAAAATAATATTCATGAAAATTATATATTTTGTAAAGTACTTTTAAAGTAGAACAAATATAGTAACGAAATATAACTCATAGGTATATGAAATAAAATGTATTGTCTTTTATTTGCTTATATTTCCGTTTTTGGTATAACAAAAAATTAACAAAGAAAAATATTTTTTTCCAAAATTTTCCATAGTATTATTTTGCATTTAGTCTACAAATCTTGTGTCAAAAAAGCTACCAAATGCTACCAGTGAAACCCATTACTGTACCAGGTAAGCTAACAAATAAAGCTCAATAATATACTTATCTATATACATACATATATAACCAATATAGTTGCATACACTTTATGAATATCAAACTAGTAACCCGTCCCAGGTATTACAGAAATCTTGTTTTAGACAACTTTGAAAAATAAAACAAGTACATAAATTTATATTTGTTATACAAGAAAAATAAAATGAACCTCTTACTAAATTTTCTGTAATACTTTTTGTAGCTTGGTTATAAAAACGAGAAAATCCGTCCTTCAATATTATTTCTGTACCTCGATTTAGCTATGATTGATGGCTACAAATCGTGTGTCAAAAAAATGCTACCAGTGTAACGTGTGACAGTTTCCTATTATTCTTGTCAGTGTTCAGAATACAACAAAAAACTGAGCAAATAGAATTTTGTTCACATTGATAATACTGGTTCTTGGTTCTTTGTGACATTTCCTAAGAACCGAAGACTTTGCCATGATAGTGAAGTTTACGTATTCCTTACAGAGTTCGAAAGTGCTTAGTCTACTACTATGCTACTTAGGTAGCCATAAAACTGAGAATAGAATTTTTACTTGGGTAACAATGAAAAGATCTTCGCTTAGCCCATTTAGTCTTTAGCTTAAGAGATCAATTAATGAGGTATAATATAATTAATTACTAATGTAACGATAACATTTTTGACTTCTGATCAAGCATATATAATAACTAAAACAAGCTTAAGTACATAAATACTTTTGTATAACTTACATATATAACAGAATTTCATTTAAAGACATTATAATATCTTTTTATTTTTTTTATATCATCAACATTCATTAAAATAATGGTAAACTTTTTTCCATTATTAAGGTATAACAGTGCAATATTTAAATTAATATAATATTCATTATGCTATTTCCACGATTCCAGTCAGTAACATTGCTTATAAAGTTTATAAAACTTACTCTTATGTTTCAACAATTTACAACTAGTATTTCTGTACGAGATCTTTCATTGTTAAAACTTGTTTAAACTTTAAAACTAATTCAGAGTTTATTCTTAAAGTGGAATAAATTTAAATTTTCTACGGTCTTGTTTATATCTATTTTAGCCTACAAGACTTAGTGAGCCACATTGTCAGTGTATATTATTTATGCCAGGCCTCGTATTTGTTAACTTCAGTATTACTCGTACTCCTAGTAGTCTACAAAGTTGGATAGTAGATAATTATTTGAAACTTTCTTGTAGAAAAGT